GCAAACAGGGAAGGGGTTGCCCAGTTACTCGGATGTGCTTTGCATTTCCCTTGTTGTGCAAGAAGGAAAACGTCTAACAGGCAAAGAACCATCCGTGAGCTCTGCAGTCCCTAGGGGAAAAGCAAAAGCTGTTTTCCTGCAGTTACTAATGCTCCGTGTATCCGTGCATTCATACGTCCATTTTTCTTCCAAGGTAGCTGGTGTCAAGAAGCAGCTGATGCAGAGACATGCAACCTCAGAGGAAAGACGTCTATTGCTGACGAGTTTCAGAACAAAGAGAGATTAACTGTGAGGGATTTGAGTTATTTGCATAGAATCTATTGCATTTCCAGGCACAAAAGGTTAAAAAGGGGACCTACAGGCTTTAGGAACTATCTGTAGTTCAGTGAAGCTTTAAATCAAGTTAACACTTCCACAACCCTTGGGGAATTTGCATAATTTCCATAATGCGCAGCATGTTTTTTGCCTCCTGATAGAAGCCATCAGTTATGTAAGCAAATTGGTAGCATAATTATGCAGATGGGAAAATAAATTTAATTGATTCAACAGAAAAGTGTGCTGTTCGTTTCACCTGGGATTTCTTTTAACTCAGCGAGGAACAAAATAAATGGAGAGAGGTAATCGGCAGGTGACGCTGCCAGATACCAACTCCATTGCATAGGGTACCCATTTTCAAACATAGATGGAGCAACCCACCCCCCCACCCCCCCCCCAAGAACAGGAATTTTTAGCTAAAGGTCTCAACACTTATTGAGTATCACTACAGTATTCTGTGGGAGTAGTATTGTGGCTTTATCTGGTCTTGTTACTCCCCACCAGTTCCCAGGATACATCCCACTGGCTTAGCAAGAGCTCCACTGACATTTCCAAAAGAACTTTATACCAGATAAAATTAACACTTGAAAAAGTTTGTATTTTGACTACCTCTAGTCCCATAACGGAAGGAGAATTTTAAGCATCACAATAGTGTTGTTGAAAGCAGCAACTCAGCCATTTTCTTCCTGCTCCTTTGTTTCTGTTCAGGTCCTCGGTCTGCAGATGGACAAAAAGTGGCATCAGTTTCTCCAGTCCCATCACACACAATGGCACAGAAGCTCTGAGGCCAATCATGTCAGCATTAATTTTTGATATTACTCATCATACTAGCCATTTTAGAAAAGGGTTATGTGAAAAGGGTTGAGACTCAAAAACATAGACCTGGGATTTGCCAGAAAACCCTCAGCAGCAACAACGAACACCAAACCGCGAAGATGCAAGATGCATTTGGAGAATGTTAAAGGACAATAATGTGAACTAGTAATTAATGTGGCTGTATTTTACTGAGCTGAGGAGTATGGCATTAAGATTTTGGTAATGAAAAATTCGATTACTACCCCAGGGACAGTTAATGCTACTATTTCTCCTCATATGAAGCTCTCACTAACATCCATTAGAATTCTTCAGCGAACTGAGTGCAGCCCACAGGCCGAGCTGTAGCCTCCACTGCAGTCTGTAGCTAAAACTGGAAGCTGGCCATGTCCACAGCTGGGAGGTTCAGCCCAATTTATTCATGAGCATTTGCTACACTATGTGCTAAGGTGTGGTGAAATACTGCACAGTCTGACTGATTTCACACGTTCTTAACCTCCTGCAGCACATCATAGTCTAGATTCTTGTAGCATTTACAAAATCCTATGCTCTCCACCTCTGCTTTGCCATTTTGCCTATCCTCCTGCTG